GCTCCTTGAACGCTGCTGCCACATGCCTAGAGCTCTTGCTCGGAATAGCCCTCACCTCTAGCCACTTGCTCACGTGCTCCACCATAAGCACAATATACTGCTTCCCCCCCCCCCCCGGCTTAGCGGCAGCTCCCCCGCCAGATCCAAGGACCATCTGAACCCTAGGCCTCGGATGGGAAGAGACTGCAACTCAGCATTGGCTTGTGTGAGGTTTGCCCTGCTCCTCTGGCATGCCTCACAGCCTTCCACACACCCCTTTACTTGCTTCCGCATCCCTTCCCACCACCATCCTGTTTTCAACAGCTGCACCGTTCTCTCGTGCCCAAAGTGTCCCAGCTTTGTGTGTACCTCCTTGATCACTGCCTCCCTCTCGCTTGGCACTGGTACCAGCTTCCATCCGTCCTCTGTCTGCACCTGCAACTGCTGCTGATACCACCTGTAGTGCTGTCCCCTTGCCCTCACCCGCGCTGTCAGCTCCTCGTCCTCTCCTGTCTCTCCTTTCACCCACCGCATGGCTGGTCCATCCTCCCAAATATCTGCTGGCCCCTTCTGTCCCTTGGCCCCATTCATCTCCACCAGCCTGGCCAGCAGTGTCAGAGTCACGGTGGGCTCCTGCAGTGGGGGGTTCCGGGAGAGACCATCCACATGCTGCAATGTCTTTCCCGGCCTGTGCTTGATTTTGAAGTCATACTCCTGCAGCTTCATGGCCCACCGTGCATTCCTGCCCGTCAACCCCGGTGTTGTCATCAGCCACGTCAGGGGCTGGTGATCCGTCACCAAGGTGAACTCTCTCCCCTGCAGGTACACCCTGAAGTGCCCCACAGCCCATACAGCCGCCAATCCTTCTCCTATGTAGGAGCTGTACTCTGCCTCTGCCGAGTTACAGCTCCTACTCGCATATGCCACCACCTTCTCCTCTCCCTTCACCTCCTTGCAGAGTATCCCTCCCATCCCTTGGCTGCTCCAGTCGGTGTAGAGTGTGAACGGGTGATCAGCGGCAGGCAACTTAAGCACCGTTGCTGTCTTTACTGTGGTCATTAAGTCCTGCAGTGCCCCCTTCTGTGCTTCTCCCCATTCCCACGCCTTGTCTTCCTGCAGTAGCCCATTTAGGACCGCCGCTCTCTTGCTGAAATTCGGCACAAACCGCCTATAGTAGCTCAAGAATCCCAGCACCTCTCTCAGTCCTGACCTGTCCTTAGGCTCCCTCAGCCTATCCAGGACCTCTACCTTGGCCTGTTGTATCCCTATCTGCCCCCCTTTCACCTCGTAACCCAGGTATTGCACTGTCTGTTCCCCCCATCTGCATTTCTTTGGGTGGCAGGTGAGCCCCGCCGCCTCTATTGCTGCCAGTGTCCTTTCCACATCCTGCAGGTGCTGCTGCTCGGTTGTGCTGAAGGTCACCACATCATCGATATAGCAGGCCGCACATTCCACTCCCCGCAGCACGCTGTCCATGACCCTCTGGAACACGGCTGAGGCATTCCTCAGCCCAAACGGCATGTACAGCCACTCATAGAGCCCGTCCGGCCCATGAAAGGCCGTCTTCTTGATGTCCTCCTCCCTTATCTTGATCTGGTTGAACCCTTGCCGCAGGTCCAGCGTCGTGAAGAACACTCCCTCTGCTAGCTTGTCAAATATCTCTTCCGCCATGGGCATCGGGTACCTGTCCGCTATGGTGATCTTGTTGAGTGCCCTGTAGTCCCCACACATCCTCCTACTCAACACCTCCCCTGTTAGGTCCCGCCTGGCAGCTACCACCGTGGGCGTAGCATATTCTGATTCTGACCTCCTAACCAGTCCCGCTTCCAGCATCTCCTTAATCTTTTCTTTGCAGATTTCCTCATCTCCGTGTGGCATCTTTCTCCGGCGGTGAAATACTGGTTCCGTGCTGCTCAACTTCAGCTCCATCTCTTTCACCTTGCATCTCCCTAGTTCTTGCATGGTGAAGGCGAAGCACTTCCTGTGCCTGGCCAACAGCTGCTGCATGGCCTTTTTCCCCTCCTTGCTCATCGCCTCTCCCACCACCCATTTTTCCTTCTCCTTCTCTTGGCAGCTCCACGCTCCCCGAGGCACTGCCTCTACCTCTCCCTCCCCCTCCTCGTGCCCCCAGCTTACGACCGTCTCTCGCCACATCCGCTGGATCAGCCACCTCAGCGCGTGGCCATCCATTGCATTTCCCAAAGCCCTCCTTCTGTCCGCCTCGCTCACCCCTGGGGCTGCTGCTGCATCTTCCCTGTACCCCACAGCCAGCTCCCACTCTAGTGTCATAGGTTCCTCCCATTTCCGTCTCCTGTGATCATACACCATGCCCGGCCCCGGCTGCCCTGCTTCCCACTTGTACCCTGATGCTCCCGTGTACGCCACCAGGGTAGGCAGGGCTCGTCTCTCCTGCCCTATTTGGTTGCAAGGATAGTGCCTGTGGTAGCTCTTGCGACACACCGGTGCCGGGGTCCGCCCTGGTGCCAGGATGTCCTGCACCTTCTGTTCCATTGCTCGCTGCACCCCATTCATCTCTTCCTGCAGTTTCATGGCCGGGACCACATTCTGCCAATACATCCTGAGCCGGTGTGCATAGGACCCGGTCCTGGCCGCATCACAGCTCACCCCTTTCCCCAGCTGCCCCTTGATTCTCTCTCTCACCAATCGGATTGGCTCCCTGCTGTCTCCTTCCAGATCCAGGTTTTCTAGCAAGTATGCCACCCTGCCCTGCCTCTCCTGCAGCCACTCCATGATGCGGAACAGGTCTTCCATCAACCTTGTCCTAGGATCCTCTCCTCCCCTCCCCTTGCCTGCCCAAGACACTCCTTGGAATTCCCACCCTGCCACCAGCAGATCCACCTGCCCCCAGCTCGCCACCTCTGCCTCTCCTATCTCCTGCACGTCATGGATGCTCCCACCCATGGCTTCTTGAATTACCTTCCCACTCAGGAGTTCTGGGAACTCCGCTTGTAGCTGCCTCGCATGATGCTCCGCCATCCTCCTCACTTGCGGCTCCTTCTCCATGTAAGTCCACTTCTTCACTGCTATTCCACTCCTTACCACTGCTGACAGACCTGCCCCTATCCCCCCAAATAGCTCCACCAGGTGGATGGGCTGCTGCCAATCACTCTGCTGCCTTGGCTCGTTCAACCACTTCATTCTGGGTCCTGCTGCTGACCCTGCTGTTCTTCCCTGCTCCTCTGCTTGTTGCTCTCCAGGCAGCTGTTCACCCACGGCCTGGTATGCTCTCTTGGGCTCCACCTTCATAAATCGCACCGGCAGCTCGCCCAAAGGCCCTTCCTTCTTCCAGTACCGTGTTCGAAACTCGACCTTCTCGGTCCAAGTGCATATGGTCATTCCCACCGCGAACACTAGCTCAGTGCCCACCAACACATCGAAGTCCTCTGACTCTGAAATCCCACACCTCATGCGGATCTTGGTCTCATGCTCCCCCCCTGGCAGCAGCGTCACTTCTATGGGCGTTCGGGTTCATGGCATCCACTTTGGTTCCCCTCCCTCCGCCGTCATTACCAGCATCCCCTTGGCCACATGCCTCTCTGGCGCTAGCAACCCCAGCCTCTCAGCCATCCCCCTTCCTAGCATCACACTCTGTGCTCCTGTGTCTATAATTGCAGTCTTCACCTTCTCTCCCTCCACTTCCATTGCTCCCTTTTCTAGCAACAGCGCTGAGGTCTGGCATGCTAGTCTTTCTTGGGGATGGCGTGCTGGGGCTCGTTCCAGGGCCGGCTCGGCTGGCTTCTCTCCCTTCGCTTGTTCCTTCCTTCCCTGCTCCCGCCTGCCGTCCTTCCCTCCGCTCCTCAGCCCCATTTCTTCTCTTCCTCTCCATGCCATGAGCGCACACTGCACATCTTGCTCCACCTCCTCCTCCCCTTCGTCTCTGGCATACATCCCTGCCTCGGCCTCCCCTCTTAGCCCTGTTGCCCTCAGCTGTGCTTGTAGCCTGCTGATCTGCCGCTGCATCTCCTCTGGGTGCCTCTTAGGCCCTCCCTCTCTCTGGTAGCAGTCCTTTGCCTCGTGTCCTCGTTTCTTGCAAATCTCACACCTGGCTGCATCTGGGCATTCCCGTTTCCTATGCCCTGGCTTCCCGCAACCGTCACAGTTCTTGCAGTCCCTGCGTAGATGTCCTGGCTGCCCACACCTGTGACATGTCCTGGTGTCAAGTCCTGTCTCCCCTCGCCCCTCTATTCTTCCTCCCCCCTCTGGTATGATGGCCGCTGCCCACGTCGGCCTCCTGCTTCTCTCTGTTGGCCTGGAAAGATAAGCCTCGTACTTCCTCTGTGCGAGCTCCACCCTTTCTGCCAGATCAAACACCTCTTCTAGGCTTGCCTCCACGCCCAGCCCATACACTCTCATCCTCAACCCCCCCCCAAGAGCCTCGTCTAGGCCCCCTAGGAACTTGCTGATGAGAAGGCTGTCCGTGCATCTCACGTCTTCCGCCACGTTAATCAATCTGTTGTAGTAGGTCAGCAGTGACTCCGTCCGGCCCCTCCTAAATTCCTGGAATTCCCTTATGCGCTCCGCCGTGTGCCCTGGGAATTGCCGCTGCAGTCTCTCCAGAAATGCCTCGGTGGGGTCTTCTCCATACCTCCCTGCCCTCCAGAGTAGTTCCTCCATCCTCATGCGGTACAGGGTCTCGGCCTCTCCCTCCAATGTGTTCGGTAGGCTCGGGAAGAAGTCCACCGGGTCCATATCGTACCTGTCGCAGCGGTACCGCACATTCCTCACTTGCATCAGGTAATTCTTGAGGGTAGGCCCCGCGCGCTGATCTCCCGAGAACCTGGCGGGCACCTCCACTCGCGGGGTGCTGGCCGCACCCCCTCGCCCCTCTCCCCATGCCTCACTGGCTCCCCTCTGCCAGCGTCTCTCAGCTCCTCTCTCCCTTGCCTTTTGCATGCCTTCTTTGGCCTCTCGTGCCCGTTCTGCGCCGTACACCAGGCTTACGCCCTCCGCTCTGCTCTCTTGGCGGCTCCCTTCCGCCCCGCGGCACCTTTCCCTCGGCCCTACCCACTCTTCCGCCCATCCCCATTGCTGCGTGGGCGGGTCGTGCGTCCTCCGCCCTTCCCACCTCCTGATGTTGCGATGCTGCCGCCTCTCTGGTGACGGTGACCGGGTGCCTTCCCTCCTGCTGCGCTGCTGGTGGCGCTCTGGCGAGTGCCTTTCTCTTCCGTACTTCTCCCTCCGCGGGCGGCGCCACTCGGGCGAGCGGGACCCGCTACCATCCTTCTCTTCTCTCCGCCTCGGCCGACCCGGCGAGCGCCCCATGCCACTGCATTCCCCGTGCTGCTCACCGCGGCGCTCCTGTGACCCCCGCTCCTCCCCGTGCCTTCCTTCCTGGCGCCCGTGCGGCTCAGGTGAGTGCGACTCATCCTTCCTTCTACCACCGTGCGCTCGCTGCTGTTCTGGCAAACGCACGCCGCCGCCGCTCCAGCCGTCCTGCTCCTGTCGTCTACCATGCGGGCATAAGTTGCCTACGCGCCATTCCCCATGGTGCGGATCCTTCTCCGGCGTGCGCGACCGCTCTGCCCTCCCCTTGCCATCATGATGCAGCCTCTGTGCCAGTGCAACTCGAACACCGTCGGCTGTCGTCACTCGCTCCTAGCGCAGTGAGCCTTTCGCGCACTGCTCTTCCCCACGGCTGACGTCTCGGTCGCGCGCTTCCTACGGTGTGGCCCTCGATTCTTTGGCTGCCGCCTGGCTCGCGCCAGTGCTCTCGTCTGCCTGCGCGGTTTCAGCCTCACCTGTTCCCGCTGCCTGGTCGTCGCCGTCATTTCCTTCATCGGCCTCCTCGACCTGCAGCCCCGGGTGCTCCTCCTCTTCTTCCGCGCCTTGCTCCGCTGCCACGTCATGTGCCGCATTCTCTTGCAGGATCCCCACTTGGTCGTCGCCACCCATGTCTCCTCCCCGTCCCCGGGGACGTTCCCCGAAACCTCGCCAACGACCTCTCTCATCCCGGCGCCGCTCTCGCTCTTCCGGAGAGCGGAACACTCCTGCGTCGCGGCGGGTTCCACGGTCCTCGCCAGGTCCGCGTGCTCTCCCTTGCAGCCACGCGTCTCTATCCATGCAGCTGCCGTGCCCGTCGTCGCCTGCTCCCACGCCCGTCGATCCTTTGTCTCGACGGTCCCGTGCGAGAGGGATTCGATCCGCGCAAAAGGCCGGGCGGCGCGGCGATCGCTCCAATGACCGCCCTCGTTCACGTGATGGCTCGCATTGCGGCCGTTCCTCCTCCCGGCGGCTAAACATCCTACCCCAACGCAATTCGTACTTATCCATATCTACTCTACTCGTTACTGCTCGAGGCCCGCTTTTGCGATTGTAATGAAAGTGCTTAGTCCCTCACCCCGTAGGTTCCCTCTTAGTGACGTGCCTCAGTATGCTAAAGCGAAGATAGCAGATTTCACTAGTTCGAGAGAATTACAATCGCAAAAGCATCGAGGGGTTGGACGTGAGTGCCCTTACCCAACCCTAGGCTGCACATTTCCAAATGTGCGGCTCCGATTTTGGGATGGACTGGTTTCATATTTCGCCCTTTGGTGTCTTTTCCCCCTTTTTATCCCAACCGCTCTTATCCCATTTCCCCCCTTCTACACCCCATTCTAAACAGTCACCTCGCTACATTCTACACATTCTAGACCTTCAGCTATTTCTCTTCTATCTTATTATATCCAGCTATTCTTCCTGTGCTAGCAACCTAGAGCACTGCCAATACCCTTACCCTACTGTTATGGCATATGCATTAGGTGCATATGCTGTGACAGCGTTAGACAAGCGACCAAAACAGCGCTGCGGCAAGTGTGGCAGGCCGCACGTCTCCCCACGGCGCCCGCCGGTGCGGAGAACGTTCGTGCAGGGATCAGCACCCCCAGACCTCCCACGCCCAGCGTACCACTCACGAAGCTGCTTGGGCGACGGGGTCTCGCGGGAACGCTGCTGCTGCTGGCGCTGGCTACCGCCAAAGCCTCCACGCTGCGCAGCTCCACCCTGACCAGCACCATCGCCGCCGCCACCTGCACCGCCGCCGTTGCTGCCTCCACCGCCACTGTTGCTGCCTCCACCAACGCTGCCGCTGCCTCCACCACCTCCACCGCCGCCACCGACGCCCCCACTCCCGCCACCACCCTTGCCCCCACCCCCACCCCCTCGGCCTCCTCCACCGCCACCACCGCCGCCCCCGCCGTCCCCTCCACCACCCTTGCCCCCCTTGCCCTTGCTGCTGCGGTGCCTCCCACTGGGAGCAAACTGCAGGTGAGGCAGGCGCGAGGCGCGCGACGGGGCAGGCAGGCACGGCAGCGCGCTTCGGGCAGGGCAGGAAAAAAAAAGTTCGTGGTGGGTCCTAAAAAAAAAGCGTTCCCACTAGGAAACCTGCTCTGAAACCATGTGAAATTAGAACGAGGAATGATTGCATTGACCAGCATGAGGAGTACAAGTATGAAACCCTAAAGTGTTGTGCCCCATATGAACTACCCAACTACAGCAGACTATCGCAAATAAGTTTGACACTGTGAGTACCACTGAACCCTGTCCTCCAAGCACGAGTCCCATGCCCGATGTACTGCACAAGTAACGCAGTACCCTCTTCACAGCATACCAGTGCACTTTTTAGTGTCTACCAGGAGCCACGTAGCTAGCCAGGAGGCTTAGAGGGTACGCAAGGCCAGTTTGTTTGCATGTCATCAGGTACATGAGGCAACCCACAAGCTCTGGGTATGGACCACTTGGCTCTACAGACTCGTCCGAAGGTGGAGCTGAGAGCGAGTGACCGGTAGGAAGAGGACTGGGGTGTGACGAGGAGAAATGGAAGCCAAAGCGCTGGAGGACCTAGAACACCATGTGTGACTAAGTCAGGATGATGGTGCGCCGTGCTCTGTCCCGGGTGATCTGCAAGCCAAGATAGCTCCGCGACTCAACCAGGTTAGTGCAGGGGTGTCTCTCCTTCAGCTCCGCCTTCACTAGGGCCAGCGCCTAAGTGTCAGTAGTAGCAAAGACTAAGTCGTCGCCGTACACGAGAACGTAAAACGGCGGCAGGGTAGTGTCGGTGCGTAGAAACAGCGACGGGTCAGCAGAGGAAAGGAGAAAACCCAAGAGCCACAAGCATCGTCCTCAGTGTGTCATGCCACCCGCGGGGCGCCTGGCGGAGACCATAGACTGGTCGCCGTAGGCTCCATTGGGTACCCGCAAGAAACGACTCAGTGAAGCCCTTTGGTCAACGCACCCAAATGGCCTCGTGAAGGCTACCTTGCAAGAAAGTTGTTAAGAAGTCGAGGGAGTGCAGCTTGTAGTCACGCTGTGCTGCAACGTGTAGCAACACCCGAAGAGTAGTCATCTTCGGGGTAGGGGAGAAGGTCTGAAAGAAGTCAACCCCCTATCGCTGATTGAAGCCTCGAGCAACGTAACGCGCCTTAAAGGCAGACGGAGAACCCGGCGGCCGCTTTACCATGAAAATCCACATGCCACGGACGATGTTCACTCCAGGTGGGAGAACCTCGGCGATGTAGGTGCATGCGGACTTCCAGGAAGCCATCTCTGCGTCCATGGCTGCCCACCACTGAGAGGAGTACTCGCTCGAGATCGCCTCTGTGTAAGAGCGCGGGGTGGGGATGTCAAGTGCATACGGGTCTCTCTCACGGCAAAATAGCATGGATGCGAAACGAGGTAAAGCGGCCGCAAGACAATCAAGCTCAAACTGCCTATCCTCCAAGACGTCATTGCTAAGGGCACGCTCACCCTCGACGGACGGAGGATAGACAGACTCTGACTCAGTAACAAGACTCGCGATGTAGTCGAGACGACTCCTAGCTGCAAAGTCGACTAGCTCAGTGGCTAGGGCAAACGCAGCAGTAGACTCAAAGTCAGGGTCGGTGACGACAGTAGCGAGGAGACGGGTGACACTAGGATTGACAGCACGAGCAAGGTCGGACGCAGGGTCAAGAACGTGCGGAAGAGAGGACGCGGGAGGCTCAGGCAGGACAACACGCTGTAGAACAGAGGAAGGACAAAGTGCCATACCGTGAGTGCCTAGGACAGCAAGAGGACAAGGACGGGCGACACGACGAGCACGATCAGGTGTGGAAGCACGAGTCTCAGGCTCACGATGCTCAGTCAGGGAATCAGTCACCTCAGTGTGAGGAGAAGGAGCAGGCAGCGGGGAGACTGGTAGTAGCTGTGGTTGAGACTCGTCTGTCGGTGGACACATGAGAAATGGAGTGAGGCCAGTGGAAGACGGGAGACTAAGAACCTGGTGAAGGACCGAGTCAGGGGGCGGTAGGGACGACTGCGGCTGCGGGTAGAAAAACAGTTGGTGTGGGGCAGTACCAGCAGCTCGAGCTCCTCCAGCACCAGCAGCTCCAGTAGCACCTCCAGCACCAGCAGCACCACGAGCTCCAGCAGCGCTAGCACCTCTAGCACCAGCAGTACCTCCAGCACCTCCAGCTCTCCTAGCAGCACCTCCACCAGCAGTAGCAGTACCACGAGCAGCAGCAGCAGCAGTAGTTGTAGAAGTAGGGCGGCTCAATGAGACTAGGCGGCAGCACCTCCAGCACTCCCAGCATCACCTCCACCAGCAGCAGCAGTAACACGAGCAGCAGGGCGGATCGGGTGGTGCAGGGTGGCTCGGGATGAGCGGCGTGGCTCGGCCTGAGCGGCACGGGCAGCAGGGCGCGCACTGTGTAGGGCAGCAGGGCGCGACGCGCGGGCTGCAGCAGGGCGCGACGTGTGGGGCAGCAGCAGGGCGCGACGTGCGGGGCAGCAGTGCGCGACGCGCGGGCTGCAGTAGGGCGCGACGCGCGAGCTGCAGCAGGGCGCGACGTGAGGAGTAGCAAAGCGCGACGCGCGGGCTGCCGTAGGGCGCGACGAGCGAAGCAGCCGAGCGCGACGCGCGGGCTGCAGCAGGGCGCGACGTGCGGGCTGCAGCAGGGTGCGACGCGTGGAGCAGCAGAGCGCCGCGCGGGCTGCAGCAGGGCGCGACACACAGGGCAGTAGGGCGCAAACCCTGCAGACGGGGCGCGTTGGGGCAGGAGTTGCTCGCAAGCAGAAGGGGCGCGCAGGGCAGGGGCTGCTCACAGGCAGCAGTGGCGCGTGGGGCAGGGGCTGCTCGCGGGCAGCAGGGGCGCTCGGGGCAGGGGCTGCATACAGGCAGTAGTGGCGCGCGGGGCAGGGGCTGCTCGCAAGCAACAAGGGCGCGCAGGGCAGGGGCTGCTCGCAAGCAACAAGGGCACGCAGGGCAGGGGCTGCACGTGCGCAGCAGGGGCACGCAGGGCAGGGGCTGCTCTCGTGCAGCAGGGGCGCTCGTGACAGTAGGCCAGTGCATTAGGAAGGCAGTGCGAGTAGCTGCACGGCAGCGTGACACTGTGCAAGAGGGCCGGACAGCGCTAGGGCGCTTCAGACAGGAACTTAGCAAGACGATCATTGGGCCCTAAAAACTTAACAGGTTTCCTGCTCGGAATACTATGTCAGAATCACTGTGCAGGAATGAATGAACTATGAATGAGTTGGGTACAAGTACTAACACCAAAATGTTGTAACCCTTGTAGGCTAACCCAATGTAGCCTAGAGAGAACACAAACATAAAGTTCGACAAGGGCGACGGAGAGATGAAGGGCGACGGGATAGTAGGAAGGGCGACGGGAAAGAAAGGCGACGGGAAAGTAGGAAGGGCGACGGGAAAGAAAGGCGACGAGAGAGTAGGAAGGGCGACGGGAGAGTAGGAAGGGCGAAGAGACGGCATTGGGATGGACGGAAGAACTAGTAGTACTTCACCCATGCCCAACTTGAACCCCAAGTTGGGCAAAAAATCGCAGGGACAAAACGATCGCAGTGCTTCTTCTATGCGGCTCCCCAAACAGAGATGCGACGCCTACCGTGCTGTCTTCATTTTCTCGGTTTTGGCGGGAACCAATCAGATATGTTCGATCTGTTCAATCGCTCTCAATGAAACAGTGCAAACTTGTCATTTTGGTTTTGAAAATTGTTTCGCTCGACAAGCTCTCTTTCAAGCTAGAGACAGGTTCACTATTTTGCATTTCGGTTTTAAGCAGAACGTTTCTACAGTGCTTTGTTAAACCAACTAAGGATTTTACTGACTGCTCCCATAGTGAGCTGTCTTGTGCACTCCACCTCAGCTTTCCAGCATGGGTAAACCTCAATTTACGTCCCAATTGGCACGCCAAGTGGGCATAGCCTTAGAATAACTCGGCAGGCTGGCATCACACGAATTGTCGACGTGGACATTGGAAACGGATTTGACGGTGTGGCAACCAGCTTTCTGTACAGTAAACGATCAGCGTGTGTGGTGATATGGGGAGTCGCCTGGATTCTGGTGATCGATGCCCCAATTGCAACCCGCTCGCAGGTGGTGATCGGTTGTTGTACTGTACTGCACTCCGGACTTGCGTTTTGAATTACAGCTCCAATTGTCTGCTAATTGGAATGGAGGCATACCAGCTCCCCCACCACGTCGCTGCTCACTCTCCATAATTCACACTCGCACTTAAAACCCTTCATGCTACATGTCAGAGTCCTATTGCTTCCGCTTTGCGAGTGGGTGTTTTTCATGCTCGACTCGACTTGTGTGCCATTTCGGGAAACACGTTCTCGGTATGCAATCTAGTGTCTAGTGCAGCTTTGGCAAGAAATCCGCGACTCGACGGAACTCTCGACGCTGGGAATTGGCGGCACGGGCCACCAGCTGGCTTGTTTTCAGCCAGTACCCCTTGCCTTCGCCCCAAATCCCAGCAAGCTGTTCCTGAATATTTTCAGTACGGTTGAATATATTTTGAAGCATTATACATAGCTTTGTAGACTTGTTTGGTAGGGTTGTGAGCAAGTCAGAGATTGTAGGAACTTTGGAGTGCCCGTGGACAATGCTGTTGTTGACATGTTTCGCGCCAGCGTTTCTTGGGTTTTTTTGTGTGGCAAGCCAAGAAACCATCAGCAATTCAGCTCAGCGGGCTAGCGGGCTCAAGGCAGATCAAGAAGTGCTTGCCTTCATTTGGCTTTCCTTCGTTTTTGGATCAACTTCCGAGCAAAATCTCGACAAGAACGACCCAGCAACTAGCTGACGAATCTAGTTCTCATTCACCTCCAGGTCTCCTGATCCACAGAAGACTTCTCCGTATCTCAAAACCTTTTCCATTTTACACTTTCATTTCGAAAGTAGTAATTATCCACGCTTTTGTACAGTTCGTCATGGCGGACGGCAAGTTCTTCGCGTACGCGTGTCTGGGCCCCAAGCATAAGTTTGAGCCGTTTCACTACGAGCCGGCCCCGCTGGGACCCAACGACGTGCAGATTAAAGTCACGCATAACGGCCTGTGAGTCGCTCGTAAAAGCCTGTGAGTCAGCTATAGTCGAGGATTTTCAGCTCCCTTGCTTGCGAGGTCAGTCGATTCGAGTTCCCCTCGCTTTTACGATGGCGTTCAAAATGAAATGCCTCAGACGATTGTCCTGAATTTCCCATTCACGTGCGTAGGAACGGCATGTCATTGTGGTCGAGTTATTCTGCGTGTGTTCTTGACGTCCGGTGATAATTTGGAGATGTCTCAAAAAGAAAAGACATCGTCACTCAGTCAAGTCGGCGGTAGTCGTGATGTGCTCATTGCTGTTGGTTTCTGTATGACAGATCCTGTGGTGGTTTTCGGTAGTCGTCGCTCCGTACCCGTTAGAAGCTTGTCCCGCTTACGCCATCCGTCGTCTTGACGTTTCGCGCAGGTGCCACACGGACCTGCACATGCGTGACAACGACTGGAACAACGCGACGTACCCGTTAGTAGCAGGCCACGAGGTGGTGGGCATAGTGGAGCAGGTCGGCGCCAACGTCACCACGCACAAAGTCTTAAGTAACTATTTATCATTTGCTCACTTCGCTCCTATCCGTTCAACTGAGGAGACGGGTGAAATTGAACGAAAATCTTGATTTTCTGCGAGTCATCGACTCAGTAGTGCCCGAGCGGTACGGAATTTCAAATTTAACTGTAATTCGAAGTCTGTAGTAATGTCGTCTCACCCTCCTCTCGAATCGGAGTGACTTCTGATCCTGCCGCGCGCTGAGAGACTTGTGTATGCGCCGTATGAGCATAAGCGCCTGTTCGAGGGATGAATGCGGGGTGTGGAGAACTCCCGCGTGCTGAGGGAAGAAACGCGCGGAGCTCATCCCCCCCCCGCGCTGAGCTTCCGCGCCCCGTGCTAAAGCCCAATCGTGTTCCTCCTTGTGCAAATGCAGGGGGACCACGGCGCATGGCTCCGCGACTCCTACCGGAACTCCTTTTGCCCCATTTCACCCATCCGCACCCATCCTTCTCTACCCATCCCACCCATCCGCACCGATCCACATTCATAAGGCGACCATGTGGCCTATGGTTCGCTACACGATTCCTGCCTGTCGTGTGTCCGCGGGGAGGAGAACCTGTGCGCGGAGGGCTACACGGGGCTCATCCCCTCATCCTCCTCTGCCCATCCCCACCCATCCGCACCCACAGGACGACCGCGTGGCCTACCGTTGGCTCCGCGATTCCTGCCGCTCGTGCCTCTCGTGTGTGCGCCGGGAGGAGAACCTGTGCGCTGGAGGGTAGGGGCACACGGGGCTCATCTCATCCTCCCATCTCTCTCTGCCCATCCGCACCCACAGGGCGACCGCAGTGGCCTACGGCTGGCTCTGCGATTCCTGCCGCTCGTGCCTCTCCTGCGTGCGCGGGGAGGAAAACCTGTGTGCGGAGGGCTACACGGGGCTCATCCTCAACGGCAACAAGGGCGGCTTCCAGCCGCACCTGCGCGCCCCCGCTGACTTCGCCATCAAGTTGCCTGAGGGGTTGGATTCGGTTGATGCCGCTCCTCTCATGTGCGCTGGTGAGTACCGAACTCCTGTAATGATGTGTGTCTCATCGCCTCTCGTGCGCCCCCTTGGGGATGCGCCTGCGCGCCCCTGCTGACTTTGCTGTTATGCTCCCCGATGGGTTGGACTCGATTGATGCCGCTCCTCTCATGTGCGCCTGTGAGTGTCTAGTAATGCACGGATCATGGGGGCTGGGGGCTAGGGGCTGGGATTAGGGGCTCATGGGTGGGGGACAACAAGGGCGGCTTCCAGCCGCGCCTGCGCGCCCCCGCTGACTTCGCCATCAAGCAGCGAGATGGCGCGGGTTCCGTGGACGCTGCTCCTCTTATGTGCGCTGGTGTGGCGCGTGTTACTGCTTGCTTGCATGCATTCATTTGCCCCTGTCGCGTGCCTGCGCTCCCCCTCGCACCCTCGCTTCCTCTCTTCCTTGTCCTTTTCCTCCTCCTCACACCCTCGCTTCCTCCATTCCTTGTCCTTTTCCCCCTCTCCCCTCTCCCCTACCCTCCTCCCCTTCCAGGCATCACCGTGTACAGCCCTCTACGTGCGCACATCACCCGCCCCGGCATGAAAGTGGGCGTCATCGGCATTGGCGGGCTGGGCCATCTCGCTTTACAGATCGCGCGGGCCATGGGGGCACACGTGACTGCCTTCTCCACCTCGCCCAGCAAGGAGGAGGAGGCCAAGAGAATGGGCGCGCAGCAGTTTGTGGTGTATGACGCCCAGGCTGCGCCAGGAAAGGGACATCCAGAGGTGCCCAAGAGCGCGCACGTGGATGTGCTGGTGAACTGCGCGCCTGTGCTACCTCCTCAAGGCGATTACAGGAACTTCATGAGCCTCCTGGGGCCCGATGGCACGTGAGTCAAGGCTTGGGTAGGGATTGGGTTGGTAGGGCTGGGATAGGGGAATGGGGCAGCCTTCCCCGCATTAGCGAGGAGCATGGGCGCACAGCAGTTTGTGGTGTATGATCCGAACGCTGCGCCTGGAAAGGGGCATCCCGAAGTGCCCAAGAGCGCGCATGTGGATGTGCTGGTGAACTGTGCTCCCGTGCTGCCGCCCTATGGGGATTATCTCAACTTCATGAGCTTGCTAAACCCGGATGGCACGTGATTGTAGGCAAGGGTAGGAGTGGGGTAGGGGTACGGTAATGGGCCGGCCTTCTCTGCGTGGGCGCGCAGCAGTCCGTGGTGTATGACACGCATGCTGCCCAAGAGCGCACATGTGGATGTTTTGGTGAACTGTGCGCGCCTGTGCTGCTGCAACAAAGATTAACGCAACTGTTCTGATTTTCCTCATCCCTCTTTCCCCTGTCCCTCCTCACCCGTTCCCTCTTGCCCCCCCCTTCCTGCTCTCCTCTCTCCCCCGTACCCTTTTCCCCTTGCCCATTCCCCCTCCCCCCTTCTCAGACTTCTCCTGACCGGGATTCCACCAGATGCTGTCGGGCAGGTGGGCCTGCTGGATCTGATTTTCGGGCAGAAAAAACTTGCAGGATCGGTGGTGGGCGGGCGGATGCTGTTGAAAGAAATGCTTGACTTCTGCGCTGCTAACAGCATCAAGCCCGTGACTGTGGTGAGTGTGACTGTGGCGGTGTGACTGTGGTGAGTGTGACTATGACGAGTGTGAGTGTGGCTAATGTTATTGTGGTGTTCAAGGGTGTGGGGGGGAGAGTGTTGGTGGGTGTGAGTAGCATTGTTCGTGTGAACAGAGCTGCTTGTGCAGGTATGGTGATTTTTGTGCACATCACAACCTGGTTACCACCCTGCCATTACCTGGTTACCACCCTCTCACCTCCCTTCACAACCCTCTCACCTCCCTTCACAACCCTCTCACCTCCCTTCACAACCCTCTCACCTCCCTTCACAACCCTCTCAACTCCATTCACAACCCTCTCACCTCCCTTTACCACCCTGTATCACTTACAGACCCGCCCGCTGTTGCAGCTGAACGAGGCTATGGATTAGGTGGAAGCTATTCCTCGCTCACAAACTCACCATCCCTCCCATCATTGCCGCTCACCTACCTTTCATCTCTCTCCCTCTCCCCTCCCTCTTACCACTTGTTACAGACGCGTCCACTGTCGCAGCTGAACGAGGCAATGGACGCCGTTTTGGCCAACAAGGTCCGCTACCGTGTTGTGCTGCTGACCGATGCTGAGTAGATTTGGGTGTGTGTGGATAGATATGGACTGTTGCGGCTCACTTGAATAGATACAGATGGGTGGATGGCTACACTGTATGTGGGAGGGTGCGTGAGTGGGTGGGTGGGTGGGAGGATACTCTCACCGCCTGGATAGTATGTGTCGTATCTTATACTGCTCTGAAAAATGTATGGCCACCCTGTAACAGAAGGTTATGGGTGTTCTAATAAATCTTATAAGTAGTCGTTTTTGTAAAAGTTATTTGTACCATGTTGGTCATTGAATGTGTGGGCGATGTAGGTGTGTTATGCATGTGACGGCATCATTATGCCATGTAAGTTTTGCATAAAGTTTTGCTTCCTAGCAGAAATTTACTGAATCAGGTGAAATAAGGATGAAAATGAAATATGATTTGTATTAAATACTAGCACATCTTCCCGTCATGATGTTGTTTAAAACAAATTTGTATTGAGTCACCTTTTTGAAAGTGTTGAGTTCTGCAAAATTCCAAGCCCTAAATTATCGCAGAACATGCATAACGGCGATGCCCGTATTCGCTACTGGTTTCGGGTTCTGGTGGGACCCACACGAGCCCACGCTCGCTCTGCCATACCTCCCCCTCCTCCCCTCCACTGTTCCGAAGTGGCCCTTCTCTCACAGTCGTTTCTGTCCCAACAGATCAAAATAGCTAGTGCTTGGCTTGAGGACCAGTAGAAAGTTTGTGCTTACAGGTTGCGTTAGTGAACTCTCCAGCGTCTCTCGTGACTTCCTTTTGTGTGCTTTATTTCGACATTCTGCTCGGTTTGCACACGAACATTCCTCACAGGCATGTTTGCCTTGTCATTTCAGTGCATATTGACTGGATTTCGCTTGCGTGAGTGACGATCAACAAATATTATGATAGGAAGACCAGAAGTGCTTGCTTTCAGCTGGCGCTTATGCTGTTATTTCGATCCAGCTGACACGCATTGCATTGGAATCCTGCCAACGTAATAAGCCGTCACTGCATTCGTTTCCGCTCATTCTTTACGCCAACCCCAATGCATTTCGTTTCAGTTTTTGCTTCGTCCATCCATGACGGACGCTCTCAGTCCTTTTCTTCCTGCGCGTGACGATCCCGTAGGGACATCGGAGCTCTCACAAGGAGCACTGACCGATCCAATACACGGAATTAATGGGAATCTCTCTGATGCAGGAGCCCGCATATACTCGGATCTTCCCACCTTACGCTGATGTGTTGTGTTGAACCGTTTCTCAACTTTCCCCTCTACCCTTTCTCCTTATACCAGTCTTAGGAAGTCAAAGCATGCGTTCTCCTTTGATGTGGGTTTCCCTTATCACCCTTTCCCTCTACCCTTTCTCCTTCCAACATACCAGTTTCAACCAAAATCTCAGCCTACTGTAGCACGTAGAGTGGCTGAATGGATACATATTGTGCACAGAAGCATTGAGCGCAATAAAACCTTTAAAAATCATGTTTGTAATGTAAAGGAAAGCAATCATTAGCACGACCTGTGGTTAAGCTAGCTAGCTGGTCACAAAGGCTCTTTAAACAGAAAATAAGAAGCACAAATCAACCTACGCATTCTCAAATACATTTATACGCCACAGGTGCTCACCTAACACAGTAACAGCACAGCACGTTTCTCCTGGCAGAACAGCACGACTTTGTTGGCTCTTTGGCGGCTCGCTTCGCTATCCATGCCAGTCCCGATGCGTTGGGCTGGTTGCATTGCACAGCCTGGTATATCTCAACGGGACGTAGCAGGCGCGCTAACGACAAAGTCGTCTCGATAAGACGACAAACTGCCCGGGCAAAAAAAAATAAACCCCAGACGGATGGCATGCCGTTCGAGAGCCTCAACCCTAAAATTTTAGGGTTAACCCCATCGGGATGGCATGCACCCTTCGGGGGCCTAAACCCTAAAAGTTTAGGGTTGAGGCTCCCGAATGGCATGCCATCCGTCTGGGGTCTATTTTTTTTTGCCTCGGGCAGCTTGTCATCTTGTCGAAGCGGCTTTGTCGCTAGCGCGCCTTCTACGTCCCGTTGAGATATACTCGGCTGTATCTCTCAACGGAACCGGGGGTGACGCTCCGTTTTGCCAGGGGTGACGCTCGGGGGTTGCACGCACGATACAAGCCCCCTGTTTGATCGCAGCCGTTGAAGAGACAGCTTATCACGCTGGCATCCGTCCGTTCGTGAGATATTTTGAAGAAGCTGGTTACATTTCTTCACCTGCCCACTACAGTCCCGATTTTTCCCGTGGTAAATGCTAGCGAGGAAGCGAAATAGGGCTGCTCACTAAACACCCAAATGATGGGAAAAGTTGTGGGAGTCAAACGCGCTTCCTGTGTAGTCGAGAAGTAGAAATCAATTGGCGCCGTGCACAGCTTAGCAGACTCAGTTTCAGAGGAATTCGGTCAGCCTGGGTCGCGAAGAAGCGTGGGCGATTCGACGAGAACCATGTGATTCAACAACCGTGACTATACGAGCTGTGACTAAACGAGCCCATGAAAAAACGAGCCGACTAGCCGAGCCGTGACTGTAAATGCTCCAGATATCAGCAAAAGACCGCGCATGTTTCAACCTTTAGACAAGGTGACGATTGCTGCAGAGGCGCACACTCACCGACTGCTCGCAGCAGAGCAAGCAGGTCTAGCAGCAACTGCGCGTCGCCAGCAATCGACACTCACCGATGCTCGCAGCAGCTGCGTGTCGCCATCTGCCGCTCTAGTAGGAGCCGTGACTGTAGGGGAGCCGTGATTGTCGGGGAGCCGAGATTGTAGGGGCGGCGAGTGCAAAAGCCGCCTTGATTGTCCCACCCTGCAATGGACTGCACATTGAAGGGTTTGGATAAGCTGACGATTGCTGCCGAGGCGAACAGCATCCCAAAATTCCCTCTCGGGGCCCGAGCGAAAGGGAAGACGAAGTGCGTACTTCGCGTGCTCGAGTCAAGTACTGCTAGGGTGTAGAGTGGGCAGATACAGTGTAAACCCCCCTCCTGGTAGCGAGTGTACTTGCACAACCAACTCGGAAGCGAAGTATGGACAATGAAATTAGGGTGGAGTACAGACACACTACACTCGACACCTCCAGCCTGCTCGTAGACCATTGGAGGGTGCGATGTGCATACTCACCCTAAAAAACAGCTCTCCACACAGAAACAAGTGTGTATGTACTTCAATGCATCGCTTCCAACGCCCTTGGAGTTTAGAGGAGGGGCTAGTCATTTTTTACCCTACTCACACAAACGATAATCTCAGCCGTCGATTCCATATCTGTTAACCATTGCATTCGGGGCTGCCTATGATTCGTTCCTCACAAAAGGTTGGAATGTGAGCCGTCGATTGGTTTTTTTTCAGTCGTCGATTTTTAGATGCAAAGGCTGAGTACTACCGTCGATGAGAAACAAAGGGGACGGTCAAGATTAAGCACCAACATTAGAAAGGTTGGAATCGCAACCGTTGATGGTCCTAACTTCGAACGATCTAGATTTCAGGTGCATCAACCTGCTATTTCGCTTGACAGCAGAAATTACGTGAGTCTTTCAGCTGTCATTGTGTGATTGGCTATTAAACTGTAATTGTAGATGTATTCAGGCGTTCAATGGTTAAGATCGAGAGATGCAGTGAGTTGGCACAAGATATTGAGATCTCGATTCGGATTGGTTCATGTTCAATCAGGCTCAGATTTCGGGGGAGGAACGCACTGCTTGACTTGGTATATTCTGAGCACATCTTCATTTCCTCCTCCCCTTCATTGCTTGCAGCTCTCATCTTCCATCGCGACTGTCTTTCCGGCCTTAGTTGCCTTCTTCGAGTTCCTTACCGGCAACCACGCTCCCGTCGAGTTGGATCCTTCAGTCACCTTCAAAATATTAGGCGTTAGTTCAAAGCTTCTCTTCGATTTTCACGTATTTTTAGCCACCGTGTACGCATGACATTGGCCACAATGGCGTGCGTGCAGCGACACCATGGTTAGTACTTAGAGCTTTGCTTCACTTTAGAGCCCGTTTTCTTAGCACTAACGAGACGTGAGTGTGTCGTGGTTTTGCAGGCGACTGGTTTGGCAGTCCAGCATACCCTATTATGCTGTATTTGACCTCAACTGTATTCATTTTCCCACAGTTGTTGGCAGCTAATTGGTTAGTTTCCAGCGCTTATTTTAAACGTCGTACGTTGTCTCCTGTTTTTTCAGGGTGGGTTGGTCGTGTCTGCCAGCTATCGATGATCGTGAAGATTCATGCCTGTGAAGGCTTTTACCCATTCGACGGTTTAATGTTGAGTTTAGTTGGTTGTGTTCTTGTGTGTTGTTTTATTAGTTTATACATTCAACTACAAATTTCAAATTTTATGACTATCCACCATAGCATATGTTAATGAACAGAGGCTATGTAACATGCTTACAATGTACTATAAAAACGGGTATTGCTTTGTGAACTTAACGTAATTACTATGTATATACTGCACGTTTTCGGGTGACTGGTGTCATAGTGCGAACCTCGTACTAACTGTGATTGGTTGATGGGAGTAAATGCTTTCTGTACACGGACCATGTACTAAATACATTCGTAGTATGATTTCAAGTAAGTACAAAGCACGTACTGTATTGCCAGGTGAAGAGTAGCTTGTTTGTCGCAGAACCTATACTTACATAGTTCGTCAGTACTATGTGCGCTCTACGTAAAGACAATGTGTAGGCATTGTGTTTACTTAGTATTTCCGCCAAACATTTTTGGGATGTATGCCTATACCGAAGATAGTAATCAAAGAGGGAGAAAAGACGTGGCAAGAGGGAGCAGCTGCTTAAAGTTATGCATGATAGGAGAATACATTATTTCGGAACAGCTTACAGGGAGTCTATCAAGAATGGCAGAGGCCGAGGAGAGCAGGGCGAGAAGGTCTGGAAGCAACTGCTGGGACCACCGGCGGGTGTGCGCCTCTGCTGCGATTGTCAGCTTATCCAACCCCTTCAATGCGCGGTCCATCGCTGGGTGAGATGCAATCGCGTTGACTAGCGAGTGTACAATATCGTTGACCGGCGTTGACTCAAAAGTCAGTGGGTGTTCGCCTCGGCAGCGATCGTCAGCTTACCCAAACCCTGTAATGCGCGCTCCGTCGCTGGGTGAGAGACTCAAGATGACTTCAGCGAATAGACAGATGGGGGTTGGCTTAAAAGTCAGTAGCTGTTCGCCTCGGCAGCAATCGTCAGCTTATCCAAACCCTTCAATGTGCGGTCCATTGCAGGGTGGGACAATCAAGGCGGCTTTTGCACTCGCCGCCCCTACAATCTCGGCTCCCCTACAGTCACGGCTCCTACTAGAGCGGCAGATGGCGACGCGCAGCTGCTGCGAGCATCGGTGAGTGTCGATTTCTGGCGACGCGCAGTTGCTGCTAGACCTGCTTGCTCTGCTGCGAGCATCGGTGAGTGTGCGCCTCTGCAACAATCGTCACCTTGTCTAAAGGTTGAAACATGCGCGGTCTATTGCTGATATCTGGAGCATTTACAGTCACGGCTCGGCTAGTCGGCTCGTTTTTCCATGGGCTCGTTTAATCACAGCTCGTATAGTCACGGTTGTTGAATCACATGGTTCTCGTCGAATCGCCCACGCTTCTTCGCGACCCAGGCTGACCGAATTCCTCTGAAACTGAGTCTGCTAAGCTGTGCGCGGCGCCAATTGATTTCTACTTCTCGACTAGGTTAGCAGGCTCATCACTGTGCAATGCAACCAGCTCAACGCATGGGGACTCGCATGGATAGCGAAGCGAGCCGCCAAAGAGCCAACAAAGTCGTGCTGTTCTGCCAGGAGAAACGTGCTGTGGTGTTACTGTGTTAGGTGAGCACATGTGGCGTATATATGTAATTGAGAATGCGTAGGTTGATTTAGGCATCTTGTTTTTGTTTAAAGAGCCTCAGTCAGCTAGCTAGCTTGACCACAGAATCGTGCTAATGATTGCTTTCCTTAACATTACAAACATGATTCCTAAAGGTTTTATTGCGCTCAATGTTTCTGTGCAGAATATGTATCCATTCAGCCACTCTACGTGCTATAGTAGGCTGAGATTTTGGTTGAAACTGGTATGTTGGAAGGAGAAAGGATAGAGGGAAAGGGTGATAAGGGAAACCCACATCAAAGGAGAACGCATGCTTTGACTTCCTAAGACTGGTATAAGGAGAAAGGGTAGAGGGGAAGGTTGAGAAACGGTTGAACACAACACATCAGCGTAAGGTGGGGAGAACCGAGTATATGTGCGTTCCTGCATCAGAGAGATTCCCATTAATTCCGTATTTTGGATCGGTCACTACTCCCTTAGGAGTTCCGATGTCCCTACGGCATCATCACGTGCAGGAAAGTGGGTGTGACAGACAGAGGCGGGAAACAATGCCCAGATGCGCAAAATGGACACAAGCCAAGACGTCAAGTTCATTCTAACGCGGACTCTTAAAATCTGATAAATAAGAAACCTGCAGAAATTGCAAACTAAGAGAGGAAAATAAGCAAAAAGTTCCTGCATCAGAGAGATTCCCATTAATTCCGTGTATTGGATCGGTCAGTGCTCCTTGTGAGAGCTCCGATGTCCCTACGGGATCGTCACGCGCAGGAAGAAAAGGACTGAGAGCGTCCGTCACGGATGGACGAAGCAAAAACTGAAACGAAATGCACTGGGTTGGCGTAAAGAATGAGGGGAAACGAATGCAGTGACGGCTTATTACTTTGGCAGGATTCCAATGCAATGCGTGTCAGCTGGATCGAAATAACAGCATAAGCGCCAGCTGAAAGCAAGCACTTCTGGTCTTCCTATCATAATCTTTGTTGATCATCACTCACGCAAGCGAAATCCAGTCAATATGCACTGAAACGAGAAGGCAAACATGCCTGTGAGGAAAGTTCGTGCGCAAACCGAGCAGAACGTCGAAACAAAGCAAACAAAAGGAAGTCACGATAGACGCTGGAGAGTTGGCTCACCAACGCAATCTGCAAGCACAAGCTTTCTACTGGTCCTCAAGCCAAGCACAAGCTACTTTGATCTGTTGGGACAGAAACGACTGTGAGAGAAGGGCCACTTCGGAACGGTGGAGGGGAGGAGGGGGAGGTATGGCAGAGCGAGCGTGGGTTCGGGTGGGTCCGTCCAGAACCCGAAACCCGTAGCAAAAACGGGCATCGCCGTTATGCATGTTCTGCGAGAATTTAGGGCTTGGAATTTTGCAGAACTCAACACTTTCAAAAAGGTCACTGAGTACAACTTTGTTTTAAACAACATCATGACGGGAAGATGCGCTGGTATTTAATACAAATCATATTTCATTTTCATCCTTATTTAACCTGATTCGATAAATTTCTGCTAGAAAGCAAAACTTTATGCAAAACTTACATGGCATAATGATGCCGTCACATGCATAACACACCTAGATTGCCCACACATTCAATGACCGACATGGTACAAATAACTTTTACAAAAACGACTACTTATAAGGTTTATTAAAACACCCATAAACTTCTGTTAAAGGGTGGCCATACATTTTTCAGAGCAGTATAAGATACGACACATACTATCCAGGCGGTGAGAGTATCCTCCCACCCACCCACCCACTCACGCACCCTCCCGGACACAGTATAGCCATCCACCAATCTGTGTTTACTCAGCATCATTGAGCAGCACAATACGGAAGCGGACCTTTTTGGAGTCCACTTCATCCATCCAAATATCCATCCACCCATCTGTATCTATTCAAGTGAGCCGCAACGGTCCATATCTATCCACACACACCCAAAACTACTCAGCATCGGTCAGCAGCACAACACAGTAGCGGACCTTGTTGGCCAAAACGTCGTCCATTGCCTCGTTCAGCTGCGACAATGGACGCGTCTGTAACAAGTGGTAAGAGGGAGGGGAGAGGGAGAGAGATGAAAGGTAGGTGAGAGGCAATGATGGGAGGGATGGTGAGTTTGTGAGCGAGGAATAGCTTCCACCTCATCCATAGCCTTGTTCAGCTGCAACAGCGGGCGCGTCTGTAAGTGATACAGGGTGGTAAAGGGAGGTGAGAGGGTTGTGAAGGGAGTTGAGAGGGTTGTGAAGGGAGGTGAGAGGGTTGTGAAGGGAGGTGAGAGGGCTGTGAAGGGAGGTGAGAGGGTTGTGAAGGGAGGTGAGAGGGTGGTAACCAGGTTATGGCAAGGTGATAACCAGGTTGTGATGTGCACAAAAATCACCATACCTGCGCAAGCAGCTCTGTTCATATGAACAATGCTACTCACACCCACCAACACTCTCCCCCCCACACCCTTGAACACCACAATAACATTAGCCACAATCATACTCGTCATAGTCACACTCACCACAGTCACACTCGCCACAGTCACACTCACCACAGTCACGGGCTTGATGCTGTTAGTAGCGCAGAAGTCAAACATTTCTTTCAACAGCATCCGCCCGCCCACCACCGATCCTGCAAGTTTTTTCTGCCTGAAAATCAGATCCAGCAGGCCCACCGGCCCGACAGCATCTGGTGGAATCCCGGTCAGGACAAGTCTGAGAAGGGGGAAGGGGGAATGGGCAAGGGGAAAAGGGTACAGGGGAGAGAGGAGAGCAGGAAGGGGGGGGGCAGGAGGGAACGGGTGAGGAGGGACAGGGGAAAGAGGGATGAGGAAAATCAGCACAGTTGCGTTAATCTTTGTTGCGGCAGCACAGGCGCGCACAGTTCACCAAAACATCCACATGTGCGCTCTTGGGCAGCATGCGTGTCATACACCACGGACTGCTGCGTGCCCATGCAGAGAAGGCCGGCCCATTACCGTACCCCTACCCCACTCCTACCCTTGCCTACAATCACGTGCCATCCGGGTTTAGCAAGCTCATGAAGTTGAGATAATCCCCATAGGGCGGCAGCACGGGAGCGCAGTTCACCAGCACATCCACATGCGCGCTCTTGGGCACTTCGGGATGCCCCTTTCCAGGCGCAGCGTTCGGATCATACACCACAAACTGCTGTGTGCCCATGCTCCTTGCTAATGCGGGGAAGGCTGCCCCATTCCCCTATCCCAGCCCTACCAACCCAACCCCTACCCAAGCCTTGACTCACGTGCCATCGGGCCTCAGGAGGCTCATGAAGTTCCTGTAATCGCCTTGAGGAGGCAGCACAGGCGCGCAGTTCACCAGCACATCCACGTGCGCGCTCTTGGGCACCTCCGGATGTCCCTTTCCTGGCGCAGCCTGGGCGTCATACACCACAAACTGCTGCGCGCCCATTCTCTTGGCCTCCTCCTCCTTGCTGGGCGAGGTGGAGAAGGCAGTCACGTGTGCCCCCATGGCCCGCACGATCTGTAAAGCGAGATGGCCCAGCCCGCCAATGCCGATGACGCCCACTTTCATGCCGGGGCGGGTGATGTGCGCACGCAGAGGGCTGTACACGATGATGCCTGGAAGGGGAGGAGGGTAGGGGAGAGGGGAGAGGGGGAAAAGGACAAGGAATGGAGGAAGCGAGGGTGTGAGGAGGAGGAAAAGGACAAGGAAGGGAGGAAGCGAGGGTGCGAGGGGGCAGAGGGAGCAGAGGGAGGAGGAGCAGGGCAGAGGGAGGAGAGGGAGCAGAGGGAGATTATGGAAAAACTAGACAGCTGAAAGGGTAGCATAGCATATGGACTGACTACCACAGTGAAATTACTGAGTATTCCTATACCGAAGATAGTAATCAAAGAGGGAGAAAAGACGTGGCAAGAGGGAGCAGCTGCTTACAGTGATGCATGATAGGAGAATACATTATATCGGAACAGCTTACAGGGAGTCTATCAAGAATGGCAGAGGCCGAGGAGAGCAGGGCGAGAAGGTCCGGAAGCAACTGCTGGGACCACCGGCGGGTGTGCGCCTCTGCTGCGATTGTCAGCTTATCCAACCCCTTCAATGCGCGGTCCATCGCTGGGTGAGATGCAATCGCGTTGACTAGCGAGTGTACAATAACGTTGACCGGCGTTGACTCAAAAGTCTGTGGGTGTTCGCCTCGGCAGCGATCGTCAGCTTACCCAAACCCTGTAATGCGCGCTCCGTCGCTGGGTGAGAGACTCAAGATGACTTCAGCGAATAGACAGATGGGGGTTGGCTTAAAAGTCAGTAGCTCATCCCAAAAATGTTTGGCGGAAATACTAAGTAAACACAATGCCTACACATTGTCTTTACGTAGAGCGCACATAGTACTGACGAACTATGTAAGTATAGGTTCTGCGACAAACAAGCTACTCTTCACCTGGAAATACAGTACGTGCTTTGTACTTACTTGAAATCATACTACGAATGTATTTAGTACATGGTCCGCGTACAGAAAGCATTTACTCCCATCAACCAATCACAGTTAGTACGAGGTTCGCACTATGACACCAGTCACCCGAATACGTGCAGTATATACATAGTAATTACGTTAAGTTCACAAAGCAATACCCGTTTTTATAGTACATTGTAAGCATGTTACATAGCCTCTGTTCATTAACATATGCTATGGTGGATAGTCATAAAATTTGAAATTTGTAGTTGAATGTATAAACTAATAAAACAACACACAAGAACACAACCAACTAAACTCAACATTAAACCGTCGAATGGGTAAAAGCCTTCACAGGCATGAATCTTCACGATCATCGATAGCTGGCAGACACGACCAACCCACCCTGAAAAAACAGGAGACAACGTACGACGTTTAAAATAAGCGCTGGAAACTAACCAATTAGCTGCCAACAACTGTGGGAAAATGAATACAGCTGAGGTCAAATACAGCATAATAGGGTATGCTGGACTGCCAAACCAGTCGCCTGCAAAACCACGACACACTCACGTCTCGTTAGTGCTAAGAAAATGGGCTCTAAAGTGAAGCAAAGCTCTAAGTACTAACCATGGTGTCGCTGCACGCACGCCATTGTGGCCAATGTCATGCGTACACGGTGGCTAAAAATACGTGAAAATCGAAGAGAAGCTTTGAACTAACGCCTAATATTTTGAAGGTGACTGAAGGATCCAACTCGACGGGAGCGTGGTTGCCGGTAAGGAACTCGAAGAAGGCAACTAAGGCCGGAAAGACAGTCGCGATGGAAGATGAGAGCTGCAAGCAATGAAGGGGAGGAGGAAATGAAGATGTGCTCAGAATATACCAAGTCAAGCAGTGCGTTCCTCCCCCGAAATCTGAGCCTGATTGAACATGAACCAATCCGAATCGAGATCTCAATATCTTGTGCCAACTCACTGCATCTCTCGATCTTAACCATTGAACGCCTGAATACATCTACAATTACAGTTTAATAGCCAATCACACAATGACAGCTGAAAGACTCACGTAATTTCTGCTGTCAAGCGAAATAGCAGGTTGATGCACCTGAAATCTAGATCGTTCGAAGTTAGGACCATCAACGGTTGCGATTCCAACCTTTCTAATGTTGGTGCTTAATCTTCACCGTCCCCTTTGTTTCTCATCGACGGTAGTACTCAGCCTTTGCATCTAAAAATCGACGACTGAAAAAAAACCAATCGACGGCTCACATTCCAACCTTTTGTGAGGAACGAATCATAGGCAGCCCCGAATGCAATGGTTAACAGATATGGAATCGACGGCTGAGATTATCGTTTGTGTGAGTAGGGTAAAAAATGACTAGCCCCTCCTCTAAACTCCAAGGGCGTTGGAAGCGATGCATTGAAGTACATACACACTTGTTTCTGTGTGGAGAGCTGTTTTTTAGGGTGAGTATGCACATCGCACCCTCCAATGGTCTACGAGCAGGCTGGAGGTGTCGAGTGTAGTGTGTCTGTACTCCACCCTAATTTCATTGTCCATACTTCGCTTCCGAGTTGGTTGTGCAAGTGCACTCGCTACCAGGAGGGGGGTTTACACTGTATCTGCCCACTCTACACCCTAGCAGTACTTGACTCGAGCACGCGAAGTACGCACTTCGTCTTCCCTTTCGCTCGGGCCCCGAGAGGGAATTTTGGGATGCTGTTCGCCTCGGCAGCAATCGTCAGCTTATCCAAACCCTTCAATGTGCAGTCCATTGCAGGGTGGGACAATCAAGGCGGCTTTTGCACTCGCCGCCCCTACAATCTCGGCTCCCCGACAATCACGGCTCCCCTACAGTCACGGCTCCTACTAGAGCGGCAGATGGCGACACGCAGCTGCTGCGAGCATCGGTGAGTGTCGATTGCTGGCGACGCGCAGTTGCTGCTAGACCTGCTTGCTCTGCTGCGAGCATCGGTGAGTGTGCGCCTCTGCAGCAATCGTCACCTTGTCTAAAGGTTGAAACATGCGCGGTCTTTTGCTGATATCTGGAGCATTTACAGTCACGGCTCGGCTAGTCGGCTCGTTTTTTCATGGGCTCGTTTAGTCACAGCTCGTATAGTCACGGTTGTTGAATCACATGGTTCTCGTCGAATCGCCCACGCTTCTTCGCGACCCAGGCTGACCGAATTCCTCTGAAACTGAGTCTGCTAAGCTGTGCACGGCGCCAATTGATTTCTACTTCTCGACTACACAGGAAGCGCGTTTGACTCCCACAACTTTTCCCATCATTTGGGTGTTTAGTGAGCAGCCCTATTTCGCTTCCTCGCTAGCATTTACCACGGGAAAAATCGGGACTGTAGTGGGCAGGTGAAGAAATGTAACCAGCTTCTTCAAAATATCTCACGAACGGACGGATGCCAGCGTGATAAGCTGTCTCTTCAACGGCTGCGATCAAACAGGGGGCTTGTATCGTGCGTGCAACCCCCGAGCGTCACCCCTGGCAAAACGGAGCGTCACCCCCGGTTCCGTTGAGAGATACAGCCGAGTATATCTCAACGGGACGTAGAAGGCGCGCTAGCGACAAAGCCGCTTCGACAAGATGACAAGCTGCCCGAGGCAAAAAAAAATAGACCCCAGACGGATGGCATGCCATTCGGGAGCCTCAACCCTAAACTTTTAGGGTTTAGGCCCCCGAAGGGTGCATGCCATCCCGATGGGGTTAACCCTAAAATTTTAGGGTTGAGGCTCTCGAACGGCATGCCATCCGTCTGGGGTTTATTTTTTTTTGCCCGGGCAGTTTGTCGTCTTATCGAGACGACTTTGTCGTTAGCGCGCCTGCTACGTCCCGTTGAGATATACCAGGCTGTGCAATGCAACCAGCCCAACGCATCGGGACTGGCATGGATAGCGAAGCGAGCCGCCAAAGAGCCAACAAAGTCGTGCTGTTCTGCCAGGAGAAACGTGCTGTGCTGTTACTGTGTTAGGTGAGCACCTGTGGCGTATAAATGTATTTGAGAATGCGTAGGTTGATTTGTGCTTCTTATTTTCTGTTTAAAGAGCCTTTGTGACCAGCTAGCTAGCTTAACCACAGGTCGTGCTAATGATTGCTTTCCTTTACATTACAAACATGATTTTTAAAGGTTTTATTGCGCTCAATGCTTCTGTGCACAATATGTATCCATTCAGCCACTCTACGTGCTACAGTAGGCTGAGATTTTGGTTGAAACTGGTATGTTGGAAGGAGAAAGGGTAGAGGGAAAGGGTGATAAGGGAAACCCACATCAAAGGAGAACGCATGCTTTGACTTCCTAAGACTGGTATAAGGAGAAAGGGTAGAGGGGAAAGTTGAGAAACGGTTCAACACAACACATCAGCGTAAGGTGGGAAGATCCGAGTATATGCGGGCTCCTGCATCAGAGAGATTCCCATTAATTCCGTGTATTGGATCGGTCAGTGCTCCTTGTGAGAGCTCCGATGTCCCTACGGGATCGTCACGCGCAGGAAGAAAAGGACTGAGAGCGTCCGTCATGGATGGACGAAGCAAAAACTGAAACGAAATGCATTGGGGTTGGCGTAAAGAATGAGCGGAAACGAATGCAGTGACGGCTTATTACGTTGGCAGGATTCCAATGCAATGCGTGTCAGCTGGATCGAAATAACAGCATAAGCGCCAGCTGAAAGCAAGCACTTCTGGTCTTCCTATCATAATATTTGTTGATCGTCACTCACGCAAGCGAAATCCAGTCAATATGCACTGAAATGACAAGGCAAACATGCCTGTGAGGAATGTTCGTGTGCAAACCGAGCAGAATGTCGAAATAAAGCACACAAAAGGAAGTCACGAGAGACGCTGGAGAGTTCACTAACGCAACCTGTAAGCACAAACTTTCTACTGGTCCTCAAGCCAAGCACTAGCTATTTTGATCTGTTGGGACAGAAACGACTGTGAGAGAAGGGCCACTTCGGAACAGTGGAGGGGAGGAGGGGGAGGTATGGCAGAGCGAGCGTGGGCTCGTGTGGGTCCCACCAGAACCCGAAACCAGTAGCGAATACGGGCATCGCCGTTATGCATGTTCTGCGATAATTTAGGGCTTGGAATTTTGCAGAACTCAACACTTTCAAAAAGGTGACTCAATACAAATTTGTTTTAAACAACATCATGACGGGAAGATGTGCTAGTATTTAATACAAATCATATTTCATTTTCATCCTTATTTCACCTGATTCAGTAAATTTCTGCTAGGAAGCAAAACTTTATGCAAAACTTACATGGCATAATGATGCCGTCACATGCATAACACACCTACATCGCCCACACATTCAATGACCAACATGGTACAAATAACTTTTACAAAAACGACTACTTATAAGATTTATTAGAACACCCATAACCTTCTGTTACAGGGTGGCCATACATTTTTCAGAGCAGTATAAGATACGACACATACTATCCAGGCGGTGAGAGTATCCTCCCACCCACCCACCCACTCACGCACCCTCCCACATACAGTGTAGCCATCCACCCATCTGTATCTATTCAAGTGAGCCGCAACAGTCCATATCTATCCACACACACCCAAAACTACTCAGCATCGGTCAGCAGCACAACACGGTAGCGGACCTTGTTGGCCAAAACGGCGTCCATTGCCTCGTTCAGCTGCGACAGTGGACGCGTCTGTAACAAGTGGTAAGAGGGAGGGGAGAGGGAGAGAGATGAAAGGTAGGTGAGCGGCAATGATGGGAGGGATGGTGAGTTTGTGAGCGAGGAATAGCTTCCACCTAATCCATAGCCTCGTTCAGCTGCAACAGCGGGCGGGTCTGTAAGTGATACAGGGTGGTAAAGGGAGGTGAGAGGGTTGTGAATGGAGTTGAGAGGGTTGTGAAGGGAGGTGAGAGGGTTGTGAAGGGAGGTGAGAGGGTTGTGAAGGGAGGTGAGAGGGTTGTGAAGGGAGGTGAGAGGGTGGTAACCAGGTAATGGCAGGGTGGTAACCAGGTTGTGATGTGCACAAAAATCACCATACCTGCACAAGCAGCTCTGTTCACACGAACAATGCTACTCACACCCACCAACACTCTCCCCCCCACACCCTTGAACACCACAATAACATTAGCCACACTCACACTCGTCATAGTCACACTCACCACAGTCACACCGCCACAGTCACACTCACCACAGTCACGGGCTTGATGCTGTTAGCAGCGCAGAAGTCAAACATTTCTTTCAACAGCATCCGCCCGCCCACCACCGATCCTGCAAGTTTTTTCTGCCCGAAAATCAGATCCAGCAGGCCCACCTGCCCGACAGCATCTGGTGGAATCCCGGTCAGGAGAAGTCTGAGAAGGGGGGAGGGGGAATGGGCAAGGGGAAAAGGGTACGGGGGAGAGAGGAGAGCAGGAAGGGGGGGGCAAGAGGGAACGGGTGAGGAGGGACAGGGGAAAGAGGGATGAGGAAAATCAGAACAGTTGCGTTAATCTTTGTTGCAGCAGCACAGGCGCGCACAGTTCACCAAAACATCCACATGTGCGCTCTTGGGCAGCATGCGTGTCATACACCACGGACTGCTGCGCGCCCACGCAGAGAAGGCCGGCCCATTACCGTACCCCTACCCCACTCCTACCCTTGCCTACAATCACGTGCCATCCGGGTTTAGCAAGCTCATGAAGTTGAGATAATCCCCATAGGGCGGCAGCACGGGAGCACAGTTCACCAGCACATCCACATGCGCGCTCTTGGGCACTTCGGGATGCCCCTTTCCAGGCGCAGCGTTCGGATCATACACCACAAACTGCTGTGCGCCCATGCTCCTCGCTAATGCGGGGAAGGCTGCCCCATTCCCCTATCCCAGCCCTACCAACCCAATCCCTACCCAAGCCTTGACTCACGTGCCATCGGGCCCCAGGAGGCTCATGAAGTTCCTGTAATCGCCTTGAGGAGGTAGCACAGGCGCGCAGTTCACCAGCACATCCACGTGCGCGCTCTTGGGCACCTCTGGATGTCCCTTTCCTGGCGCAGCCTGGGCGTCATACACCACAAACTGCTGCGCGCCCATTCTCTTGGCCTCCTCCTCCTTGCTGGGCGAGGTGGAGAAGGCAGTCACGTGTGCCCCCATGGCCCGCGCGATCTGTAAAGCGAGATGGCCCAGCCCGCCAATGCCGATGACGCCCACTTTCATGCCGGGGCGGGTGATGTGCGCACGTAGAGGGCTGTACACGGTGATGCCTGGAAGGGGAGGAGGGTAGGGGAGAGGGGAGAGGGGGAAAAGGACAAGGAATGGAGGAAGCGAGGGTGTGAGGAGGAGGAAAAGGACAAGGAAGAGAGGAAGCGAGGGTGCGAGGGGGAGCGCAGGCACGCGACAGGGGCAAATGAATGCATGCAAGCAAGCAGTAACACGCGCCACACCAGCGCACATAAGAGGAGCAGCGTCCACGGAACCCGCGCCATCTCGCTGCTTGATGGCGAAGTCAGCGGGGGCGCGCAGGCGCGGCTGGAAGCCGCCCTTGTTGTCCCCCACCCATGAGCCCCTAATCCCAGCCCCTAGCCCCCAGCCCCCATGATCCGTGCATTACTAGACACTCACAGGCGCACATGAGAGGAGCGGCATCAATCGAGTCCAACCCATCGGGGAGCATAACAGCAAAGTCAGCAGGGGCCCTCTCCACCCTCTCTGCCTCGCTCCCTCTGCTTCCTCTCCCTCTTCTCCATTTTCTCTGCTCCCTCAGCTGCCCTGCTGCTACCATCTCTGTCCCCGTGGTGCCATGTGTGAACGAGGCATGCTCTTCATGTGTGACAGGAAGAGCAGATCATCGACCCATGCTTCACATCTCCCCTTTCTCCTCCGCTCCCTCGCCTCCCTCCTCGCCCTGCCCCCTCTGCTCCCTCTCCTCCCCGCCCTGCCCCCTCTGCGTCCTCTCCTCCTTTACCCTGCTCCCCACCACCCCCCCGCCCTGCTGCGACCATCTCTGTCCCCGTGGTGCCGTGTGTGACGGGAAGGGCAGATCATCGACCCATGCTTCCTATCTCCACAGCCGCTCATTCACCCCGTCTTTCCCAACATCCACTCATCCCTTTGCTCTGCTTCCTCTGCTCCCTGCACCCTCTGCCTCCTCTGATCCCTCTGCTGCCCTCTCTGCTGCTTCCGCTCTCTCTGCTCCTTCACATCTCCCTCCCCCCTTCTCCTCCCGTTCGCTTTTCTTGGATTGCAGGTGCTTCTCAATTCATCCCCTCCGCCATCTCTTCTCCAGCATCCCCATACATAACATCTCCTCCCTCCTCTCTCTTTCACTTCAGTTGGATAGCAGGTGCTTCTCAATCTAACCAACTACGGGGTGTTGCAGCTGTCTGGCAACCCTCCTCCATCTCTTCTCCAGCATCCCCATAACCTCTCCCCTGCTCCCCTCTCTCCTCCCTTTCGCTGCCAAGTGCTTCTCAGTGTTGCAGCTGGTCCCTCCCATGCAACCCTCCTCCATCCCTCCAGCTCTGCAGCTCTCCCATACACACCCTCCTCTTTCCCTCTCCTCCCCTCCCTCCCTTTAACTTCCCCTTAATTATAGGTTCTTTTTATTCCAACAAACTACGGAGTGTTGCAGCTGTCTCCTCCCATGCAACCCTCCTCCACCCTCCCTCCACTTGTGCACCTCCCCCCGTTCGTACCACCCCCATCCGCTACTTCTGATGCCTCTCCTGCGCCTTCCCCTGTTGTTGCACCTCTTGCAACCACCGCCACCACTGCCGCCACCACCAGCAGCAGCAGCATAGTCAGTAGCAGCAGTATTAGTAGCAGGAAGGAAGGGGAGAATGCGAGGGGGATGGCAGCGGCAGTGGCAGCGAGGCAAGTGGAGTCTTTAGAACGGATCCTGCGCTCTGCTGCTGACACTCTGTGAGTGGTTGGGGGGGAACGGGGTAGCATAACATCATAACATCCTAGCATGCGAAGGCAGTGGCAGCAGCAGTGGCAGCAGCAGTGGCAGGGAGGCAAACGGAGTCTTTGGAAAGGATTCTGCGCTCTGCTGCTGACACTTCGTGAGTGCTGGGAACGTGGTGAGACACTCCGTGAATGTGAGTGGTGATCTAAGGTGAATGAGGCAACATGGGGAACACGCTGAAGCAGTGGCAGCGAGGCAAGTGGACTTTCTGGTACGAATCTTGTGCTCTGCTGCTGACACTCCGTAAGTAGTTCGGTGTGGGGGAATGGCGTCACATGACGTTATCGCATCATGCATCGCAACACCATCGCATCACAATATCATACCATAGTATTGTCATAACATTAGAAAATTGTAAAGCCGCAACACGTCAGAATTGTAACACAAGAACACTTTTCTGAAGGTGTGGGGGAGACAAGTGGGAGCCTCTGGAACAGCACAGCACATGCGCGGTAAATTTGTCGACTCAATGGTGACACATCAACACCGTGAACTAGTGGGCAGCATGTGTTGAGTGGCAAATGGAGTCACTAGAGCAACACATGCTTCGCGCTTGATGTGACTTTTGAGTCGACTCAAAAGTCACCTCGTAGTCACTAGAGCAACACACGCTGCACGCTTGCCTGCAGATTCACCCTGGTTGTTGCGTTGTGAGTGAATGAATACGCTGTCGCCTGGTTTCTGCACTCATCCTCTCCGTTGTGTCAAGGGTCTCAAGACAATCTCTGACACCCAAATCTTTTAATCCAAAGATTCGATAGTACCTCTCAACAGCACTTACCCCTACAATCCCCACAAATCCCCCATCCTCCCTGTCCTCCCGTCCCCCCCAAACCCGCCTCATATGATCCCTCTCATCTTTCCCACTCATTCCCATCCACCTACCTCCTCCCGTCCCACTGACCGACTTCAAACCATTTCAAGTCCCCATGCCAACAGTCCGAGTGAGATGGCTGCCATCCTCTCGCCCATGCCAACAGTCCGAGTGAGATGGCTGCCATCCTCTCGCCCATGCCAACAGTCCGAGTGAGATGGCTGCCATCCTCTCGCCCATGCCAACAGTCCGAGTGAGATGGCTGCCATCCTCTCGCCCATGCCAACAGTCCGAGTGAGATGGCTGCCATCCTCTCACCCATGCCAACAGTCCGAGTGAGATGGCTGCCATCCTCTTGCCCATGCCAGCAGTCCGAGTGAGATGGCTGCCATCCTCTCGCCCATGCCAACAGTCCGAGTGAGATGGCTGCCATCCCTCGCAGTCGTGGAGGACGAGCCCTGCGTTGACCCACCACAAGGTGGGTCCTCCTGCCCAATCCTCCTTCCCAATCCTCCTGCCCAATCCTCCTGCCCAATCCTCCTGCCCAATCCTCCTGCCCAATCCTCCTGCCCAATCTTGTGTGATCTATCTATCTTCCCTGCATCATAGCAAATTACATTCACTGTCTGTCTTAACAAGCCCGGATGACATGGCTGCTATGCTCGCAGTCTTGGAGGATGAATGAGCCCTGCACCGACTCTCTACAAAGTGGGTCCTTTGCCATACTCGTTAAATAGTAGCCCATTTTCGAAACATATCTGCATCATAACAAGGTACGTTCAGTCCGTTTTCGAAACATGTCTGCATCATAACAAGGTACGTTCAGTCCGTTTTCGAAACATGTCTGCGTCATAACAAGGTACGTTCAGTCCGTTTTCGAAACATGTCTGCGTCATAACAAGGTACGTTCAGTCTTTCCATCAGTTCGAATGACATGGCTGCCATCCCTCGCAGCCTTGGAGGATGAATGAGCCCTGCACTGACTCTCCACAAGGCGGGTCCTTTGCTGTGCAATTTTAGAAACAAGCGCATTCTATGAAACATATGTCCAGTGAATTATTGGCATCATAACGAGTTACATTCACTCTCGCAACAAGTCCTACTGACATGGCTGCTATCGATTGCCCTGCTCTCAGTCGTGGAGGACGCGCCCTGCATCGGTTGCCTACTAGGTGGGCCCTCTGCTGTACTCCTTAACATCAAATCCAACTGCATAACATATATCTGCAGTATATAGAGTTAACATGCACTGTCTGCACAAGTCCGGGTGGAATGGAGGATGAACCAGGTGAGCCCTCTCCTGTACTGGTTAAAGAACTCGTATTCCGTAACCTATCTTCATATACAGAGTTGAACTTTGCCCTTCCAAAAGCCTATGGTGCTTTGGTTTAGAAAAATAAGCAATGCATTGGAACTGTGCATGGTGTGTCCTCTTTTAAACATACACTCTCTCTTCATGGTACACTCTGTTTTTGCTAGAAGCAGGACCACTTGACAAAGGTTTGGGGGATGATGCATTGACGTTAAGCAAGGTATGCAATCCGTTATACCCTTCATACGCTAGCCCAGAATAGGGATACTGTTTGTTTTCTACCCGTTGTTTTAACACAGCCTCACTCCATCAGCCGAAGGGACATCTCTGCCCTTTCTCTCTGTTTGGAGGATGACACTTGCAAAGTCATTCCAAATACGGCCCATACTCCTTCTAAGCAGATCTCGTATGAAAAGCTTAGACTTGTTGAATGACCTGTTCCCAGTTGGGGGAATTCTACGTTGACACATTGTGTTCTCAAGCATGCTCCATAAATACGGGCTTTTTTCTGCTCAAATTGGTAATTGAGAAGCGTCATTGTGTGTAAGTACAGGAGTACAGGAGTGTAGCACGGCAGTGGAGATTAGAAGATGTGAACCTATTTTTGCAAACACGGCAGTCAACTTAATGTCGTACGTTTTCTTTCCATGCCTTTTCAATGCTTATGTTGCCTGATGCAGTGGAGAAGTTTTTTGCACTCATGCGAGCTACAGCCACAGGAGCTTGAGTGCCATATCAGGGCAGAATACGGAGGGCAATCGCAGTTCATTTTCAGATTTGCCTATACCTGCTTGTTTGAATCCTTGAGTATAAGGAGGGCATTCCGCCCCCTACCCTATTAAACGAGGCCATTCCCATAGGTCAATAAATTCCAAATTTTACCAGGAAAGGTAGGTTGGTGGTTGCATTAGGTTAGGAAACGGTTGGGAACGTGTGTTATTAGCATTTCGATTTAGGTTAGAGTTTTACAAGCCAAAACTGGAGACCCACCAGATCAGCGCCAAGCCCTACTATTAATTGTGTAGGGGTATAGTGAACGTGAAGCTCACTTGTGATTTGTTAGTAGGCCACTATGGAATTTGAGAGTGTTGACTTGAGGTTGGGTAGCGATAAGGACAAGGCTAATCTTGGCCCATCCATCGCAAGCTCGCTCGCACCGCCGAACCGATAGGGGGGAGAATGAGTAGCCAGGGGGTAAGGAGGAGTTCCACGTCACCATTCTCCTATAGGGGTACATACTTGCGGGGACACTTGTGTCTCAATCCCCGATTTCCCGAGTCGCGCCTGTAAATTTGCCAGATGTTGTGTCACAAACAACCAATGTATCGCGACTCTACGCGACCAGGCGAGATGTATTGTTGTGCGCATTTGTTTGGGTGACACAAATGACTGT